GGTGCAAGTAGCAACTGATCTATACAGCCCACAAGGTTTCCTGAGGACTAATAAACCAAATCCAGTGAATCAGGCCTTGGGCAAAACTGCATTTCTGAGAGAGAAACAGCAGAAAAACCAGAGAAGTGCAGGGAAATGGCTACAAGGAAGCACTAGACATGGCAGTCTCATACCTAAGCTAGCTTGCAACCTAGTTTGAGGACCAGTCTCAGTCTAGCTACAGCAGTATGCACCAAACAAGTTGCAAGAAACTGGGTGACTGCACAGATAGTTAGCCTGTGCTAGCTGCACACTTCCACAGCTAGTTTAAAACTAACTCCAGTCTGTCTACATCAGTGCTTCTCAACCTTTAGATCCAAGGTACCCACATCAGATGCCAGCTCTTAGCTTTCACTTGTTTTTTGACTACAGAAAAATAATGGAGCAATTTCTTCTGTCGTAAAGAGCTCAGAAAGCCCACAATGAGTCAGAATGTTTTTGACACTCTGGATTCTTCTTGGAAATCTCTGTGCTTATCTTGCAATTCGTGTAGAGGTGTTTGCACCTAACAGTGTTAATATTGGGTGGCACCCCATAGCATCCTTAAAAGGATTTCATGGCACCCCAGAGTACCATGGCTCCATTGGCTTTCCCTCCACCACAGTGAGTGTCCCATTACTATACACTAAGATGATCTTATATGTAAGACAATAAAGCTTTTGTTATTCTGCCATTATTATTGTTTTGCAGTGGCATTTAGGAGCCCCAGGCATGGACCAGGATCCCATTGTTTGAGATGCCATATAAACAAAGCAAAAGCATGGTCTCTGCCCCAAAGAGCTATTAACAGCAGAAGAGCAACAACAAAGAAAAGAAAGAACTGTGATTGTATCAGACAGGAGAAAGGAGAATTAACAGAAGTGCAGTACTGTGGCAAATTTAGCCACTAATTATCTGCTTCATACATGGGGCATTATTAATGCTGTCAGGCTGATTGTTTCTTTTCATTAGGGTAAACGTATAGAATAAATGGAAATGGGAAATCAAACAGCAGTGACCACATTCAGACTCCTGGGATTCTTAAACCATCCTGAATTCCAGATGGTCTTCTTCCTGGTGTTTTCTGTTATTTATACGGTAACTTTGATGCGGAATGTCATGATAATTACAGTGACAACAGCTGACATCTGCCTCCATACCCCTATGTATTTTCTTGTTGCCAACCTATCCTTCATAGACCTCTGCTATATGTTGACTATCATCCCAAAAATACTGGTGAACTTCCTTCAGGAGATGAAGACCACATCCTATGCTGGGTGCAAGGCACAAATGTTCAGTCTGATTGTGTGTTGGGTCAGTGTGTCCTCTTGGCAGCCATGGCATACGATAGATACATTGCTATATGCCATCCCTTGCTGTATACAGTCATTATGAACAGAAGTTTGTCTCCAGCTGGCAGCTGGATCCTGGGCATGTGGTTTTCTGAACTCACTCTTCCACGGTCTCCTGACATCTGCTCTATCCTTCTGTGGACCCAGTGACATCAGCCATTTCATGTGTGATGTACCCCCACTCTTAAAACTGTCTTGTAGTGATAGCACCTTGAATGAAGCTGTCCTTCATACAGCCAGCGTGTTCATTGGCATTAGCCCGTTTGTTCATTGTGGTCTCCTACATCTGTATTGCCAGAGCCATCCACCAAATCCATTCGGCTGATGGTCGATACAAGCCCTTCTCCATATGTGCATCCCACCTCACAGTGGTTGTTATGTTTTTTGGAACAGCTCTGTTTTATTATAACCAGTCCAGCTTGGGATATTCACTGTATATCCTTATGCTGGTCTCCACTATACTGCATTGTAACACCCATGTTAAATCCAATCATCTACAGCCTAAGGAACTGCAAGGTGAAGGCAGCTCTGAGGAAAATGGTAAGTAGAAAACACATCACTTGAAGAATGTGACATGCCCAGGCAAGGACCGGGATTGGGAGTGGCAAAATGGCTTCATTTTGAGCAATGGTTTGACCAGTGACAAGTAGAGGAATGTAGGATCCAGAACTCCTAGACGCTATACTGTACTCTACCAGTGTCTTACATTATCACCTTGGAAATAAATAAAATATCAGAGCATCTCTAACAGACCACAAACCCCTCTGCACCTCCATCTCCAGCTAAGAAACAAGGATACCACTCCTTTGTGAGGGGCTTGGAAATCCTTGCCAGAACGGTTCTAGGTCAGTGCAAAAACATTTTGCTATGATGCCTCTTAAATCTCCACTAAACTGCTGCCTCCAATCTAGGTCCCAGGTCCAGAGTTTTTATACTGGTGGGATTTATGTATCATACCTAGTATATGTAAGCTCAGAGAGTGATAATTGCTAAGAAACTCTAGTAGTTGTCAGAAATAGGACAAAAGTTAAAATCTAACGGAGTGGTGCTTTGGGGAGTAAGTGACCTTGTCTGTCCTTGCTGACATATGAAGCAGATCTGGTGCCGTTTACAGGAATAAGGCTGAGCAAGGTTTATAACTGCTTCATTACTGTTAATACGCATGTTTGCAGTGATCCTCAGGGACACTGTAATCTTCTGCAGATTTTAAAGCTAGAGGAGATCCCAATCCTCATTGTTTAAAGTAGTCGGTTAAATTTTGTTTGCCTCCAAGATGATTCAATATCTAGGTGTAGAGTTCGACATTCTCATATATAACATACGAATGCCTTCCTGGTGTATAAATGTTGTCCAGATAGTCATGCAGCAAGATTGGGAAGTGCTATTTTACTTTATGGTTTGGGAAGCTGGCACAGCGAGATTTAAGTGACTTGCCTGTAGGAAAGAAGTATGTGATAGAGCTGGGAATTAGGTCCAACCTTTAACCTCCCTATCCAGGGTCTGAACCACCACGCAGCACTTCTCCACTAATAAGTATTTTGTTCCTAACTGTGCAACTTTCAATACTGTTCTTTACCCACCTCCCCCGCTATTAAAATAAACCTTAAATCCCCTCTGCTGGATCTGGCCCAGTTGCAATGATTTACAAATGCATATTCCAGTAGTAAGTTAAGGCCATTGCCAGTCTACCTGAATAGAAAAGGGATTGGCTTTAAAATTTCATTATATCTCACTGACAAAGTATGATCTGAAAACTAAGCAAACGACTGTTAGGATGGTCCAGAGACTGGCGGGGGGCCGGGCTGGAGCCGATGCCATTACTCCAGAAGTGCAGCCAGCTACACAGGGAAGGGTTTGCATGCGATACAGGGATGCACTTCCTCCAAAGTGTCAAGTACTGTGTTTCAACCAGCCCCACAGCAGAGGCAACATCCTAACAAGGACAGAGCTGGTGCGAGCGGCACCCTGGCTGTGGCAGGCATCTGCGTCCCTCTCCTCTAGGCAGCATCTCCTCTAGGCCCTGGTCGCCGCTTCCCCCCTGCCCGGCTGCATGAGCCATCTCCCTTCCCAGCCGAGCTGTGGCAGCAG